CCCCTTGATTTTATGAGGTTCCACTGTGTCCCAGGGTTCCTTTGTTTCCATGAAGCACCACAGTGACAACAATCGTTCCTGGGTTCCATGAAGTTCCAAAATGTTTCAGGGTTCCTTTTGTTCCACAAGGCCCCAAATATTAAATGGTCCCTTGGTTCCACGAGATTTCACGGTGTCCCTGTGTTCCTTGGTTTCCATGAGGCCCTGCAGTGTCCCAATAGTCTCCTAATTCCATGAGTGTCATCACAAAGTTGACCCCGTCCAGATGCATGTTTTGGGGAGGTAAAGAGGAACTAGGCTAAAAGGGAAAAGATAAATGGGGAAGGAAAGAGAGGCTTGGCCAATGGAGAAGAAAGATTTTGATGAGGTAAAAACAAGTTTGGGTCATTCTGAGAGTGCTGAAAGACTCACTGTGCAAACACTCCTGATGGACCTTTACCCTCTTTGTATCCTCAAGCCCCAACACTAACCAAAAGTGTTGCCACCCCCAAGGAAAGGAATCCATTGCTCTAATCCCAGCCTCAACCTGAACTCAAAGGTAAAGCCCAATCCCAGAACTCCAGACTCTTATTTGTACTCCAATGCCCACCCCATTCCCAAAACTGTATTACCAGTATGAAAAGTCAAGCTTTAATCCTGACCCAGCCCAAAACCCTCTTCCCCTAATTATGAACCAGACACTGTCAGCAAAACAACAAACCTCCCAAAGTTCTGCCTCATCCTGACCCTCAGCTCTAAACCCCAAACCCTGACCATTAAACACCCCCACAGCCCTTGGGAGCAGGGCAAGGACCTGCAGGGCCCAGAGCAGGCCCAGGGGGTTGGCAGAGGAATGGGAGGTGACCTGGATCTGCTCAGCTCTGCAGTGACCCCCAGGAGAAGGGCCTGGGCTCTGGGAGAGATGTCCTGTGGCACAGGGGCTCAGGATCCAAGGTAATAAAGCCAAGTGCACATGGCAACAGCCAGAGCTGGTACAGAGACATCAGGGAGGGTCTAGAAATGCTGCTGGCAGGGGGGTGGGAAAGCAGGAGGGGGGTGTGCAGCCTGCAAGGCCAGAGCAGCAGCAGGGCCAGGCCAGGACAGCCTGCAGGAGAGATGGCCAAGGGCTCTGGCAGGGCTGCAAGGCCCAAAGGCACCCAGGCCTTTGTCCCCTTGCCTCTGGCAGCTGCCTCTGCCACTCAGGCCACCACAACCAACTTTCCTTGTAGGTTCTGACCTTGGTTTCTACCTCGCCCCTCCCTGAAGATCCTGGGAGGGGTTGCACAGTTTTTGGCCTTCGTTGTTCCTCCCCCTCCCATCCCTGAGCCAGCCAGGAGGGACAGGATCTGCTGGGCCAGGGCCTGGGGCTCAGGCCTTGGCCTTTCTGCTTCATCAGACCAAGGCAGGCTTTGCTCAGCATTCCAGGGGCCTGCCCAGAGCCTTTGTCTCCCTGCGCTCCTGGCCTCCAAAGATCTGCTCTAAGGAGTCCCTGGGGAGGCTTTGTCAGTGCCTGCCCTCAGTGGGACCCATTGACACTTCAAGAGACTTGGAGTTTGGCTTCTGACTCCTCGAGCAGCTTCTTCAGTACCTGGGGACCATGGACTCAGCCCCAAGTACACCATGGGGCTCGTTAAAATACAGAAAGCCCTCACAAGCTCTTTCTCCTCCTTTAATTATCTTCAAGTCTTTAAGGCTTGTACAGCCAATTGGAGTCTGCTTGAAGTGTTGTTAAGGAGGAAGATTTTGAAGTTCATGTCATGAAATATGTAATTTTTTTTAATGAAAGGAAATATTTTGTTACTTTTCAGTTTAGAGAGAGGTGATAGAAGCATTCTCCAAGTGATGTTGATACTATCTCCTCAGGAGGTCTGGACAGTCCCTTGAGGGGACCCTGTTCGGACAACCTTCCTCCTCACCCCCCCAACCTCTCCATTTCTGACATTGCCCGCTTGGGACTGACATCACTCTTCTTGTATCAGACTTCTCCTGAGCTCTACAGCTGGATGTTACAGGCCCATGGCACCATCTCCCACCTGCTCTCCTCAGAGACCTGCCCGCACACAGGCCCAGTAGAGTTTTTTTGTAACAAAAGGAAATTAAGCATGAGAGGGTTTCATAAACACCAAAACACCCTCAGTAACCACATGCTCAGTACCAACTGTCTCTAATGATGTCTTCTTCCTGCAAGGGATGATCTTATCAGAAAGGTTTTAGATAGATAGATAGAAAAGATATATAGGAACATAAAAAAAGCTGTCTGGGTAGACAGGTTCCCAAAGGACAGGAGAGCTTTTAACTGCTGGAATCTCAAGCCAGCAGCAGCTGGCAAGCTGAGAGGTGTCTGAAGGAACAAATCATGGTATTATAGAATATCTCAAATTGGTTAAACCTCTGTTTCCCTTTGTGAACCTGGGCTGACCGTGCCTGATGTTGGCGTTGTCCTCCATGGTCCCTTTAATAGCACCCACTATCGCAGGATCATAGACTTTCTCAAATTGGAAGGACTCATAAGGATCCTGGAGTCCCTGCTGCTTTCAGGACCACATAAAATGAAATCATAGGACTAAGAGCATCATCCATACACTCCTTGAGCTCTGGCAGGCCTGGTAACCACTTCTCTGGGGAGCCTGTTCCAGTGACTAACCACTTTCCGGGTGAAGAACCTTTTCCCAATGTCCTGTCTGAACTTCCTCTCATGCAACCTCATTCCATTTCCTTGAGTCCTGTCACTGGTGACAGAGATAGGAGACCAGCCCCTCCATCCGCTGCCCCCCTTGAGGCAGTCGTAGATGGCAATGAGGTCACCCCTCACCCTTCTCTTCTCCAGGCTGGACAAACCAAGTGACTGCAGCTTCACTTTGTAAGTTCTGCCCTCAAGGCCTTTCACCACCTTGGTTACTCTGCTCTGGACACCCTTTGATGTCCTCCTTATATTGAGTTGCCCAGAACTGCCTCCAGGGCTCAAGGTGAGGCCACCCCAGTGCAGGGCAGAGTGGGACAATCCCGGAGATGCTGGGTCTGGGGGCCCCCAGGACACGGTGACCCCTTTGGCTGCCAGGGCACGCTGGTGATATATCTTGCCTTCCACCCAAACCCTCAGATCTTCCTGTGGGGCGACTCTCCAGACTCTCATCCTCAGCTGTGTCTGTCAAACCAGAATCACCCCAGCCCAGGTGAAGGATCTGGCACTTGCTCTTAAGAGGTGTTTAGGCCACAGTGTCCATCCAGTAGCCAACCTGCAGGCTCTCAGGGCTCCCCACTATCTGATCCAGGCATATGGTCTCTAGACTAACTAGATCCCAGGCCTCTTTTTATATTTAATGGGGGATCAGCCAAGACTGGGATGAGGTGCCCTGTGCTGACCCTTACAGTGTCAGTGCTGGTGCAAGTGTCTGTGAGGGTTCAGCTCAGACCCACCTTGTCAGAGTCCTTGGAGAACGGCTCATGGTGGTAGGACTCTACCCAAAGCATTGCGCACACACGTGGGCGCTTCTTTTGGTTTATATTTAAGCAAAATCCTGTGTTTAATTCACCCCAAGGAGTGCACTAAAAACTCCCCCCAGTTTTGGCTTTCTGTATATGTCTGTGCTTCGGTAAGAAATGCTCAGAAACAACTTCAGTCAGAAGCTCCCTGTATTCTGCAGGCAGAAAGATTAGGAAAACCAGAAAAATGCTTTCTTGTGCTTACTTTTTTTGATAATCTTTTGACTTTGACAGCACCCATGAAACTGCTCCAATCAACCACGTGAGAAATGAGGAAATGAACCCCAGGAAATGAACTGAGGCCTGTTTGGGCACTTTGCCTGTTCCTGCTCCCTGTGGTGCTGAATCCCTGAATTGCACATTGGGAACAAACGTCCTGAGAAGTCAAAGTCAGCAATGACCCCCAAGACCCTGAGGGTGTTAACTGGCCCCACTGAGGGTCATCACTGAAGAGACCAGTGAGGTCCTGACTGGTAAGCTGACCATCCCTCGGGGCTGGTGAAGCAGTAAGCCAGAGGCACTGGTTCCAGCTGGAAATGGGGGGGTGGAACAGTCCCAGCCCCACCAAGGCCCTTGGTTGTCACTGCCCCAGACTGTCCTACTCTCCCCTGTGCCTGTGCTGTTTCCCCACACACTTTAACCACCCCCCCGATTCCCAAACTCACTCTTACCTCAGGATGTGCCAAGATTTACTGATATTCTGTCCTCACTGGTTGCTGCTTCAAACACCAGTCTGTCATTACTTTAGGATTTCCCCATGCCTCTGAGTTTCCCACAGCCCATCCAGTTCTTTTAAAGTCCAATTCATGTTCCTCTATCATCCAACGCATCCCAGCCCCAAACTCAAGCCCTCACTCCTCATCCCAGCACTGAAATAAATGTTCTGTTTTCTCTCCCCTGTCCAGGTGATGAGGGGTGTGACAGAGTGTCTCTGGGGGAGCCTGGCATCCAGCCAGGGTGTGTCCCCCCCCCAGCCCCCACAACTCCCAGGACGCTCTCAGCACAGCCATTCCCAACCCCCAGTTCAACCTCCACCCAACCTCCCTCCACCATGCCCCTCCCAATGGTGACAGGCATGTCCCAGTTGCCTGGAGACCCCCAGTGACGGCCCCCCTCCCCCCAGCACTGGATCCTGGATGCCTGGGCCCCCATCACCCAGTTCTGTCTCCCATCCAGTTCTGGGTCTCCCCCAGTTGTCTGTCTCCCAGTTCTGCATCCCCCACCCCAGTTCTGTCTCTTCCCCAGTTTGGGACCCCCTCCAATTCTGGTTTTCCCCCCCCCTAAGGTTGTCATCCCCCAGCATCACCCAGAGTTCTGTGCCTTCCCTAGTTCTGTCCCCCACCCCCCAGTTCTGTCTTGCATCCAGTTCTGTCCCCCTCCAAATTCTGCTTCCCTCCAGTTTCGGGTCCCTCCCAGTTCCTTCCCCCCTGCCCTAAAATCCTGTCTCCCCCCCAGTTCTGTCTCCTCCCGTTCTGGGTCGCGGATGCCCAGGGCCCCCTGGTTCTGTGTGGGAAGTTTGTCACCCTCCCACCACAGGAAGGAAATGGGGGGGTGGGGTAACACGGGGTGACAGTGACAGCATGGCGGCCGTGGGGCACGGCGGCATCATCAGCATTGTCTTCGGGGTGCTGGTGGCCGGTATGGGGGCACTTGGGGCCCTGACACATGGGGGGATGGGGGTCTCGGTCCCCACAGCAGGGGAGGTGGGGACCCCTGACCCACTGCGGGGGGGGTGGGAGCAGCTGGATGCCCAGATCCTTCCCATGCTCGGGGGAAGGAAGTGAGGCCCCATGTTGGCGCTGTGGGGCCGGATGATGGGTACCCCCCGCTTACGGGGCTCAGCGACCTGGGACCCCCAGTTATGGTGCTCAGAGAGCTGGCTCCCCTCTGTGTGCTTGTTGGAGGGGGCTGTGGGGGGCACGGGGGCTCCTCTCACCCCTTCCTCCTCTCTTGCCCCATAGCACTGCCCCACATCGGAGCCTTCAGCATCCACCCGGTCCCACATCGGGTCCTGACCCCCGGCCAGGGCCGGAGCTTTGGGCACCAGGTGTTGCCGCTGGAAGGGGCCCGGTAGGAGATAGGGGGCCTGGACACCTGAGTCCCCCAGTTGTGGGGCCCCCCTGACCCCAGGGATTGGGGGTCCCCGGTGGCTGGGACACCCTGACCCCGCCCCTCTCTCCAGGGTGCTGGTGGGGGCCCCGGCAGAGGTGGGAGATGGGGGGCGGCTGTTCCAGTGCTCGGTGCAGAGTGGGGAGTGCCAGAAGGTGCAGCTGGAAGGTGGGAATGGGGGCATTAAGAGGGATTGGGGTGCGATTAGGGGTGAGTGTGGGGTGAAATTAGAGGTGGGGATGGGCTAGGATTACAGGTGGGGTTGAAGTGGAATTAGGGATGATTTGGGTGAGATTAGGATGGGAGTGGGGTGGGGGTGGGTTGGGGAGAACTGGGAGTGGGTGAGGTTAGAGTGGGGTGAGATTAGGGTGGGATTGGGATGGGATTAGGGATTGGATTAGGGTTGGGGGTGGAAGGGATTTGGAGATGGGTGTTGAGTGGGAGTGAGGTGGTACTGGGGTGGGATTAGGGTGTGGGTGGGGGTGTGGGTGTGGGTAGGGTGGTTTTAGGGGTGAGTTTGGAGTGGGGACAGGATTAGGGTGTGATGAGGATGAGATTATAATAGGTGGTGAGGTTGGGAGGGGGTGGGGATGAGGTTTCATTTCAAATGGGGGAGGGGTAGGATTAGGGCAGGATCGAGTCTGGATTAGGATGAGATTGGGATAGGATTAGGAATAAACCCCATCCCCAGGGAACAGCACCCGGACCCACATAGGAATGGCCTTGGCCCGGGATGGTGATATCACAATCGTGAGTCCAACAGTTTCCCCACCCAGGGGAAGGGGGGCCAATCCCATCCCCCTTCCCCTCAGCTCCACCCCCTGCCCCTTTCTTCCCCCTCCCCAGGCCTGTGGCCCTGGCTTGACCCACGTCTGCGATCACAATGTCTACACGAACGGGGTCTGTGTCCTGCTGGACCCCCAGCTGAGAACACAGCAGGAGCTGATGCCTGGATACCAAGGTGAGGAGCCCACCCCAGAGATGGTTCCCCCACCCCATGGAGAACAGGGTCACCTCATGCCTGACCCATGGTGGCCATGGTGCTTGACCCTGGTGGTTGACCTGTGGTTGACCCAAGGCTGACCCATAAGGACCATGGTTGACCCATGGAGGCCATCATGGACCCACAGTGACCCTGGCTGACCCATGGGGCCATTGAGCCCTGTGCCCCCCCTACCCCGGTGCTGACCCCCCAGTGGCTCCCCCTGACCCCAGGCTGCCAGCGGGGCCCGGTGGACCTGGTGTTCCTGTTCGATGACTCCAGCAGCATGAGCACCTCCCAGTTCAAGGCCATCCGGGACTTCATGGTGGATGTGATGGAGAAGCTGCAGAACACCTCAATCCATGTACACCCCGGGTGGGCGTGGGTGGGAGTTCAGTAGGGTGATGTGCAGGGGGAAACGGCGGGGTATGGGGCCTACAAGGGCCAGTATAGGGGATGGGGGCCATAGGGGGCACTGTGGGGGATGGGATCTATAGGGGGGACTATGGGGACTATGGAGGCACTGTGGGGGATGGGGGCCATAGGGGGCACTGGGGGGGATGGAGGTGGAGGCTATGGTGGCACTGTGGGAGCAGGAGCTATAGGGGACACTACGGGGAGATAGGGGGATGGAGGCATTGTGGGAGGGGACTATAGGGGGCACTGTGGTGAGGGAGGCTATAAAGGGCAGAGTGGGGGATGGGGGCAATCAAGGGCACTATGGGGATGGGAGCTACAGGGGGTACTGTGGGGATGGGGTCCCTGGGGTCCCTGTGGCGGCACCGGGGGCAATGGGGGACTATGGGGGGCTCTGGGCCCACGGCAGGCTGGACACTCAGAGCAGCCCCTGTGGGCAGTTTGGGGCGGTGCAGTTCTCGGACAGGGTCCAGACCGTGTTTACGCTGAAGGAATTCGCGGCCCGGCCACGGCCCCGGGAGCTGCTGCAGGGGCTGGAACAGCGCGGGGGCCTCACCGACACCTTCGCTGCCATCGGCTTCGTCGCGTGAGACATGCCCTGCCCCACAGCTGCCCCACTGCCCCCCGCTGCCCTCCACTGTCCCCCCC